AATTAACGATAGTTGTGTGAATATGCGCGTCAATTAATATATATGTAGCTATAATTAGCTGAAAGCACTCAATAACTAATTAATCAAATCATTTTATCAATTGGGTAACGTTGAATCATTAGTATATACAACCTTCATGAAGTGATTTGAGCTAATTAATTAATGAAACCCTGCGATACATATATATAGAAATTGAGGTCACCTCATTGTAACAAGTACGTACGTGGTGTGAAGTTGGATAACAATTTTTGTTCTTTTTGTTCTCTGTTTGTTGAAGACCCTCTTCATCTCTTTCTAATGTGCCCGATGACATTTAATACTTGGTTAGCTGTTACTAATTGGTTGGAGGTTGCGGTGGTCTTTCCCAATTCTTTAATTTCTCTTTATTTATATTGGACGAATCTTGGTATATATAAAAAACATTCTCACTTTTTGCGGGTAGTTTGGGTTTCTGTTATCTGGTCACTATGGCTTCATCGAAATGTCATTATCTTTCAGCAAGGTACTACAGATTGCAAGGAAGTGTTGGATAATATTAAATTGCGTTCATGGAAGTGGATTAATAGTTCTGTCCCTGGTTGTTCTTTTAGTTACACAAGTTAGTATTATAACCCGAGTTTGTATTTCTCATAGTTTCTTTCTAGCTTTAATTCTAATTATGTCTATGTATCTCTTGTAACGGGTTGGAGTACCCCTAGTATTTCCTTTAATTTAAATTTCTTTTGCTTATAAAACAAATATATAGAAATATAGGTAAGGTAGGTTAGTTAGAGTAGCATGATATATATACCATATAAGAATATGACCAATAAAGCTTAATTATATAATAGACAATGTATCAAAAAAAAAATCATATAATAGACAAATCACGAGAGGCAGAGCTATAAAAGCTAGCTATATATATAAACATGTTAACGAAGGCAACCCCACCAATAAACGAATGGGGGGGAACTCCCTAGTTTCTAGTCTGGTCAAGGTCTTATCATGTTGTTTACTATAATGGCCATTAAAGTGTGATGTAAATAAAAATAAACATAAAGCATTAGAATAGGAGTTAATATTTCAATCAAATTCTAACTTTGTTATATCCATTTATCTTTTTCTTAACTTCCGTCCCCATTTGTATCGGTGATATTGATATACTTCGAATTTAATTTGTCCTATGTCCTCAATTCATTGGATCACATTTTACCTAATTTATGGCGCTTTAAATTGCCTTACTATTGCATCGTGAACTACAAGCGGTGCTTCACAATATTTTATGTCCTGTGTCTAGGGGTGGCTATGCGGATCGGTCCGGCCTGTTTAAGGTCCGGTCCGCAAAGTCCGCATTTTTAACGGGCCGGATAAATCCGGTCCGCGAAATAAATGGACTTAAATCTTCAAGTCCGTATCCGGCTCGTGAAGCCCGCGGATAAACGGATAAGACCGCGGGCCCAATTAAATCTAAATTGTTTAAATGAATATTGACTCAGATTTTAAATTTCTTTTCCTTTATTACCTATGAAAACATGAGGAAAAAATATATATAAAATGATATAAATATACTTCTAATAATAACATCAAACATTGTAAATAATAAATCAAAGTCTTAAATAACAAAGTTTACACATTCTAAATTTCTAATAGAAATATTTAAGTCTCAATGCCTTTAAAATTTAAAGTCCAAGCATACCAACTATTAACCAAATATTAAAGTCTTACTACCTTAAAACTTTAAAAGTCTTAATACACAACCAAACAAATATAAAACATTTGTAAGTCCAAGTACATCAAAGTCTAAATACCTTAAAACATCAAAGTCTTAATTAATATCTTAAAAACAAACATAAAATATTTGTAAGTCCAATTACATCTATCAAATATAATCAAGCATCTTCAATAATAAAATTTGAGTCCACATTTAAACGGGTAATCCGCAGGCTCGCGGATTAAATCCGCAAAATTCGCGGACTAAACGGATCGGACCTAAAAAGTTCGTATGATTATACGGATTAAAAAAAATGGGTCCATTATCCGTGAAGTCCGCGAACTTACGGACCGGTCTGCGGACTCAAGTCCATATACCCACCCCTACCTGTGTCACCCCCATCTCGCTCGTCTCATTGAAAAAATTATTTGGTAGTAAAGGATTCTACTCAATCGTTACATGTATTTAAGGTTTTTAATTTATCAAATAAATATAATTTTTACTTATGTAATTTATTGTTTTTATTTTTAATTTTGTAAAAAAAATTATCATTCATCTCTAACTTTTTATAACCTTTCAAAAATAATTTATATCGTCAATTCTTGTTAAAAAAAAATTTATATGGTAAAATATATATTATATTTGTTACATTTTATTATTGTCATTTTATCATATTCTTCTTGTGTATTCTCTTAAAATTGTGGAATGTCTGTATCCTAATTATTGTTGGTGGGGAGTTGGACCACCGGGCTCCCTTCTCTAATGAGGTGTCCCACTTGTCGTTGTTGTGACGGTCACGGTAGGTGATGATAATCATGATGGTTTTGAGCCAATTCATACAGTTTCTCTTAGCTTTAGAGGAGACGACTTGATGGTGGTACTAACAAAGTTGTGGACACTTTTGTTGTGTATGAGCTTTTGCATGACGAAGGAGTAACTAAGCGTGAGGTCAAACTTCTCCACGGTAAGATGGCAATTGGTGGCGACCTCGCATAAGCAGTGGTCATTAAGAATGAACTAGATGCCGTTGTTGGAAGACAAATTGTAAGAAGCTACCTCTCTTCATGTGGATCGGGATTTGAATTGGGAGGTTTAAGATTTGAACTATTAAATTTAGATCATAAAGGGTAAGTACGATCATAAGGGTGAGGATGAGAATTTAAGTCGAGGTGCAATGAAATGCATTTTTTTTTCTAAAAATATTTAAAATCAATCTACCTACGTGTCAATGGGAAAAAATATAATATATATTTCATTTATTAGATAAAATTCTTTTAACAAAAGTTGACAATAAGTATTATTTTTTTAAACTCAATAAAAGGTTAAAAATGAAACAACAATAATAAAAAAAGTTTACAGGGACCAAAAATGATAAATCAGTAAATTACATCAACAAAAATTATATTAAATCAATAAATAATAATTATAAATATTCGTTTTAGTATATGAAACCTTTAAAATAAAGTCTCATATGTAAAGAGACGACCAAACATAACGCCTAAATCTTTTGTATTCAAGAGACCTGTTAAAATAATTAGGCCAAATAAATAATAGTAATGAAAGCATCATTTAAAACAGGAAGGATTTATGAAGATAAAGAACATGCATATGACTTCAAATGCTATATATAAAGAATTTTTTCAACTTTTACAAGAATAGGTTAGCTACTTAGCTTCTCTATAAAATATATTAAATAAATATTTATTTTACATATTTTTAACTGTTCTACATATTTTGAAAGTTATATGTATAATTGTTGTATATACAACACTAGTGAAAAAAAGACTTTTAAAATCGGTTATTTTCAACTTTTAAAATTGGTTCCGTAATTGATTTTAAAAGAGTCGATTTTGAAAGTTAGACTTTTAAAATTGGGTAAATAATCGATTTTAAAAGTTAACTTTTAAGATCGGTTGTTTTATAACCGATCTTAAAAGTCCTGGCTACGAAAAAAATTAAACTGGAACGGGTCGTTCCAGGTTGTTAAAAAGGAGTACGGGTCGTGCTCCCTGAAGAACGGCCCGTTCTCCTAGTAGAACGACCCGTTCTCCTAGAAGAATGGTCCGTTCTCCTTGCAGAACGGACCATTCCAGATTTGAAATTTACCCAAAATGAACCTACAACAAAAATAGAGACAAGAGAAAAGCAAGAAAAAACGAAAAGAGACACAAGAAGAGCATGGAAAGACGAAAACGAAAACGACAACGAAATTTACCTTATTGGAGACTGTAGAAAATGAGAGCGCGAGAAAGTAAAAAAATGAATGGAGGGAAAGATTAAAGAGAATGAAAATGGAGGGAAATATAAAAGGTTTCTAACGATACTTTTAAAAATGGTTATTTAAGAACCGATTTTGTATACTACATACAAAATCGATTCTGAAATAACCGATTTTAAATCAGTTCTTAAATAACCGATTTTAAAAGTAGCACTTTTAAGATCGGTTAAAATTTAACCGATCTTAAATTATTAATGTTATCAATATTAATGTTATAGATAATAAAAGTATGTTATGTAAAATTAATAAAATCATTTAAATTACTCGATCGGCACACCTAAATCATTAATTAATTAATTAATTTAAACCAATCATTTAAAACTATCATTATTATATTGCATTTTACGAATTAAAGGTCTTTTTAACCTCTAGCATGTATGTATATATGTAGAGTTTAAATATATAGCAATGCAATGTATTGAAGAAATTGCAAATATACATGCATGTACATGAGGTTGGATATCTCGAAAATATAATTAGTTCAAAGTTAACGTTAACCAAAAACATGTCTTTTTTTGTTTTTGTCACCATAAAAACAAGTCTTTAAATCGGAATTATTGTACTTTTTTTTCTCACTTAAATGATTGGATCGGCCCAACGCAAATAGCTCAAAATGAATTTTGATACTTAAGAAGTGTGTGTGGCAGTTGGGGCTAAGCATTTATTAAAAATATAAGGAGGCCTTGATGGACGCCATTAAGAAAATGGGTACAGAATCAACCCCAAATTTTTATATATGCTTCATAATTTCTTAATTATTTATCTCGTTGAAGTTGAGGACTTCCAAAACCCTTTTCTCTTTTAATAACACAGTTACACTTGTCAAAACAATGTCCTGTACCGAGCACATTCCACTTGAATGAAGCAGTCAAGCCAACAGAACCCATCTTTAGTGGAACAACCATTCAAAGCTCAAGAAACCTAAACCAAAACCAAAACCCTATCACATGATGCAACAACATTTTCCTTCTTATTTAACCACACCTCGACATGTGGATCAGGAAATGAATTTGCAAAGAGAAGAAGCACGTAATGTTGAATTCCTACGTGACCCCTCTGCTTCTCTCCGCTGCCGGCATAATTTGCTCCTCTCTAGCCATAGCAGTGTACCACTGCATCCTCTTGAGGCACTTCGTTAGGCACCACGCAGCGCAACACAGTGATGACAGCACAGACACAAGCCACGCCGAGAACAACGTAGGGGTCCAAGAGGAAATCCTCAACAAAATCCCGCTTTTCTCATTCACAACAGAAAAGAGCGATTGCATTTATCATTTGAAACAAAACGAATGCTCCATTTGCCTTGGACAATGGGAGGATAGAGATGTCGTAAGGTTGTTACCATCTTGTAAACATGCTTTTCATAGACATTGCATCGATGCATGGTTCATCGACCATGCCAATTGCCCCGTTTGCCGCTCACCAATCACTCGTGATTTCGAGTTAGCATCGTTGCCACTAGCTTCAGAAAATAATAACGTGGAAAACGAACAAAGGGAATTGCATGTGCATGATCAGGATATTAATATTCCACGTGATCATCATTATCATCCATTGGTTAATGATGATGTGAGTGGTTCAGGTTCCACTTCCACCCCAAGATTTCAACGACCATGCCGTGCGTTGCTTCACGCGCACTCTCTATCATCTCACATGCGGAGAAAGCCGCGAGGTTTGATCATGGGTTTGAAAAGGTCCTTGTCTTTGGATCAAACGTCGTCGTATATTGCAATTACTGTACAAAGAGATCTCGGAGAGGCTTCCACCTCTTCTTCTACGAAAGGGGTCATGACGAGTTTGTGTAACTATAGATCAAGATGGGATTTAATGAGATCCTTCTCGCAGTTTCGGAACAGTAGTGAAAGTGGGAGATACAATGGGATTCTTCCCACTTGATGAGATTTGCTTTAAATATGGTTATACACTTTACTTACCATGAATCATGACTGGCCTGATTAGTGGACATTTCTTCTCTTCGAACAAATAAGTTCAAGCACATAATTCTCGTAAATAATACAGATTAAATATAAATATAGCCTTTCGTCGTGTTGATCTCAAATAATATACTTATATCTTCGTTGAAAGTTCTAATGAAGGACCACCACAATTATGGAGTATTTTCTGACGCATCGATCTTTTTGGTGATCAGAATTTCTGACACACATATTGCACCGGTTATTGCTTTCTTACTCATCATATCAATCCTTGCTTCGGAGGAATGATGGGATATGTAAGTTCTTAGATTTATGTATCATGTACCTACAAAGGTAGACGTTGAAAAATGATAGCTAAAATGTTATCAACACCATAAATTATAAAGTGATTCATCATTACATTACATGATTCTTAAATAGTTTTTATATGATATGTAATTAAGTGTTATTAATTAATTTATTTTTTGTATATTGGAAAACTTAAATATATATGTTATATAATGATTAACTAGAAATATGAATATGTATTGTTTCTATACTATTAAATAATTTTTTGATGAACAAGGTATTTGTTTGAAAAAATATTTACTCTAAAAGTTTAATGAAATTTTTGTTTTCATATAGATAAAGTATATCTTTTATTGAAGACAATATTGTTCAAGTGAATAAAATTATTATGAATGACAACATTTATTAACTTTCCTAAAATTTTATTTTTAACTCATGTATAAGTTAGTTTTGAGTTAATTTATGAAAAATTTATTTCAATTTTTTTTTTCAATAAGTACTTTCAAAGACATTTACTCAAATATATCATAATCTTTTGAGATATTAAGTTTATATAAGGTATTCACATTTTTCAACAAATGTTTTCTATACATACATAATTGAAAATCAAACTTTCAATCATAGATTTAAAGATTAAGCTTTCAACTACATATTTAAGATATAAGACTGACTATCAAATCTCGCATTATCTTAATTTAATTAAGATTTAATTACTTACTACTATGGAAGATGTGCTTAGGTTGTTTTGATAGGTAAAGAATTCTTGTTTAATATGTTGTTAAGTATTTGATTTAGTTAATTATTTCCATTATTATAGGATATAGGCATATAATCACCTTTTTATAATTAACCTTATATATATATATATAAGGTAAGTGAGTAGATTTTTTTTATTTTTTTTTTATGTGAGGATGAGAGAAGTAAATCTAAGTCATATAATCATACGTAAAATGCAAGAAATTAATGTAATGGAGTCATTTAAAAGGTCTTGTAATTTAAAAAAAAAAATCACTTGATTTTGTATCTTTTAATCTTGATCATTCATAACAATATTTAACTATCGATCTGGGTATGATACAAATCTAAAAAAATAATATAAAACATTTCAAATATTGTATTGATCACAGTACAAGAAAATGTCAATTTATAGATGAAAAATATCCATGAATATATAAGAATCCAAAAGTAAGTAAATATATGTGGGTAGCAAAATTATCTATAGGTGTACATTTAATAAACATTACCAAAAAAACATTCATACTAAAATCAATCAGAAAGTTTGGTGTCTTTTAACAAGAATATTTTCCATTGATGATTACTTAATTAAGAATATTTTCATAAGTAATTATTTTTTTAGGGAAGTTAACAAACTCATCATTAACATAAAAAAATTAAAAAATGAACAACTAATAATTTAACGGACCAACGAATATATTCTTCGATAATATTATATCGGTAAGTAAATTATAATAATTAGTAGAAAACTTGATACTAATTTTGTGTTTCCCCTTTTTCCTCTATTGACCTAGCTCCCCATCTACTTTTTTTCAAAAGAACCTTATAACTTGTGAGATCTGCCTCTCCTTCCCAAAAACTCCCCACGTTGTTTAATTTGTTGCCTCCTTTGCCTTTTGCCCTCATCCTTTTCCTGCTTGATATTGTCTTCCCCCTCTATGAACCTCAATGTCTCCTTGTGTGCCCCCATAATAGTCATTATATATAATTGTTGGGACTCGTTTACAATGTTGGAGATCTTACTCAAGATTGTAATTGTGGGGTTGAGTGGCTGACAACATCATGTACCAGATTGAGGTATATTTTATTTGCTCTCATAATTCACAAGAGATCTATCAATTTAGAGGACGAGGTTTCTGCTACGGAAGAAGAGATTTGTTAGATGAATCCACAATTTCAATCCTTTGTTAGTGTCGTCCTTTCATTTCTTGTCACTTAGTGTGCGAAATGTTTTTTTAGCAACAACTAGACAACCACCCATAGCAACAGTTGGATGACAATGTTGTCTTTTTGGCCAATAAACCAAATTATTTAAGTATTCTAAAATGAATAAATCCTTGAAGACTTGCATAATATTGGATAATTTATTAGAAATTTATTATTCTTTTAAACTTTTTCATTAACAAAAAGTAGATTCATCGAGTTATATCACTTTTCTTAAGAAGACTTGTTTAAAAAGTAATTTTTAAGGATTTTCAAAGAAACAATATCAAGACGGTTGTTTAATTATGGTTAACATGTTGGGATAAGACTTCATTGAACCCACAATTTTTCATAAAAAAAATAAACATATATTATTTTTAAACTTCAAAATCACATTCGATTTTTAAATTTTTTTTAACTCTAATCTCTTGGAAAAAAAAAGAGTAAAATTTCTTTATTAAATGTCAATTCCTTGATCATTTGATAAAATAACTTGTATTAAGTAATACTTTTCAAAGATATTAATGACCCACATTCATTCATGAAATAATAAGATTCATTATGTGCATTACTTAAATTCAAAATTAAGATAACATTTCTTAATAATAATCAAAATTGTAAAACAAGATATGTGTGATCAAATCATAATAAGCATTCAATACAGAAGTTAATATATTAATTTTGAAGTACAACAACATATATATTCATAGATACATGCAAGTGAGTTCAGTTAGATCTAACCTTGACAATGAAGAGATTAATTACCCATTCTCAAGAGTTACCACAAGAGAAAATGATACAATGAAGAGGAAAACGACTCCTTCTTTGCTCTCAGTTCCTACATCAATAAAATAGTAATTAACCTATGTTCCCACATTACTCCGTATTTTATCTTTTCCCCTTTTAAAACAAAACTAACAGTATTCAAAGAAGAAATGCAATTGCGAAGCAGTTGAACAAACTCGTCGCGCGATCTAAATTGATACCAGAAATGGATATTGTCTTGTCTTCAACTGCTCGGCGACTTGACACACTATGTTGGGCGATTATAGAAATTCAAGAACTGTCGTTGCTCGATTATCAACCCAAGATTATATGACTCAGAAACATTGCCCCGCAAATCAACAATCGTTGCTTAATAACCAAGTCGAGAAGAATAGCCTCCAAAAAAGCGCCCTACGAGTCTACAATCGTCTGACGAAATTGAGGCTGCAAAGAATTGGCTTTAAGATGTTTAAATGATTGCCCCGTTACCTCTTACTGCATGTTTACTTTACCGTTTAGAGCATGTTTACTTTACCGTTTAGAATAACTAAAAGTATATTGAATTCAATTCATCCACATTCATACTTTACCGTTTATAAGCAACTCCCTGTACCACATCACTGCTAAATAATAAGCTCTGACTCACTTTATAGGTTGCTTAAATTTTAACAGAGTTGTTTCTACAAACAACTCTGCTAAAATTTAAACAACCTATAAAATGAGCCAAAATTTATTTGACAGTGATGTGACACACGACTCACGTTGGAAATGCTCTTACTGTCGCGCAATCCTTCAGAATAGCTTCACCGCTCAACGACAAAATTGATGCCCAGCGAATGACGTCCTCTAAGAGCCTAGAATTGGCTTAGTTGGATAAAAATCCCTAAAATTAACAACATTGAGTTCTACAATATTGGGTAACTCACAAAATGCTAACATTTGATCAAAAAAGCTGGCTAAAGATCTAATTTTGAAAGAAAATAAGATAATTCTCTATTTGAAATGTGTATAATTTGAAGTAATTTAGACAATTATCAGATAACCAACAGTAACCAAATGACGACCAACAACATCAAATTAATTCTCCAAGATATTTTAATTATTAGATAAGACTTAAGTTTAACTTTTAAAACCATACATATTCACACTAAATATTATGAATGGTTGATATTAGACAATATATATGAATTTGTATTATTAATCACTAAAGAGACCGAGACACATAGTTATAAATAAATAAATATTAAAATTATGGATAATTATTAAAAAAGATATAAAATGATTTTTTTTTTATATTTGAGAGGAATAATGGTCTATTAAAAAGTGAAGACTAAAAGAATGATTATTAAAACTAGTGAGGTCGAGGCATTTCGTGCCTCTATTAAAAATAAAATAAAAATAAAAATTAAATAATAAAAGTATATTAATTTAATTGGTATTATGATTAATCTATTAATTTTAAGCTTTTAAATTTAATTAAAAATATTTTTTCTAAAAAAGTGGAGACCAAGGTAGTTACTGAAAAGGGTATTTCCTTTATATATTAGTATAGATAGTATAAATATTATGATTAATCTATTAATTTTAAGTTCTTAAATTTGATTAAAAAATATTTTTTCTAAATTTTTAAAATAAAAAAGTATAATGATCAAAAAAAAGTAGAGACCAATGTGGTTACTGAAAAGGATATCCTCTTTATATATTAGTATAGATATATCCCTTTATAATAGGTATAAATAATCAGTTTATTATTCTAGATTTTATATGTATTCTTATCATGGAATGTTCGTTATATGATTGGTCTCGTGGAATTTTTTTTATTGATTATAATTGGTTTTATTAGGAATTTCAAAAGAATTAAAAATCAAATTTCTTTTGGATTTTTGAAAGAAGATTAAAAAAATAGTTATCCAGGTGAACTACAAATTTAGGCCACAAAAAATTACATACGAATATATCTGGGAGAAATTTTTAACAGAAATTCTCGTACATGAAACCGTCATTAATTACTCATAGAAATACTAATTTGTCGGTAATCTTTTCCTACACGCAATTTACCGACTAATATTGTCGATCATAAATTTTTTACAATTTTTTTATAGTATCGGCAAACATATACTCGTTTGTAATAACGAAATTTCTTGGAATCCCGTGACATTCTTCATAAATATTATCAAAAGTTTTTATTAAAGCTTTCGGTGTAAGTTATGATACTGAAAAAAATAATTATACAGTGACATATATCCAATGATCATATAATATTTGTTATTAATTATATATATATATATATATATATATATTTATATT